ATTTGGAGTATTAACAAAAAACAATAATCAGGTTTGAACAGATTATCTTAATCTACTGAATTTGAGCATTTTGTTCACTTAGACTAAATTAGCTTCACTTAGGGTTACGTGTATGGATCCTAATCTGCATATTGAAGGTTAAAAACATTATGTGGAGATTAATTTGAGTTTCAAAGACTGTTCATTTCAATATCTGCAGAAAAAAAGAGGCATGCTGGGTAATATAGTACACCGTTTCTCTGCTAGCACCACTTGAAACGCTTCATGTTTTCCTATGAATGCATTATTTGCTGCGACCTTAACCCACTTCAGGTTATACAGTCACTCTCTCCTGCATGAATGCAGAGTGAATGTATGCAGAAGCTGTCAAGAGGCACACTGCAGCAGGTTTAAAAGCACATATAGAATATGTAAATACAGCCAGTGACTGAGACTCACACCAGATACTCTATATTCAGTTTATGCGTTTGCATTTTGCTCTTCATGAGAATTTACACGATATGTTCATTTGAACACGCGGGGCAAGAAAAGCTAAACCCCACCAGAGCTTATGGATATAAGCCAGAAATGAAAGTAAACAATTTATGTGCACACACGTCTCCTTCGCTCCGTTTACATCTTTTCCTTCCCATAGCAGAAGTGTCAAATCTGTGGTAATCTCTCCTCCGGCAGGAAAATCTGTGACCTCATTGAATTTTTACCCCTCGTTGTCAAAATACTTCAGTCTATTGTTGTTCTCCACTTAAAGTACAAAGCTATTTACTGGCCCCCTTTGGTAAAGATGTGGAAAAAGGCTCAGAATAAATGTGGCGTTTTTTATTTTAACATAATCTTACATTGAAAATTTCAGAAAATGTTTGTTATCTGATTGTTGGTTTATAAAGCACTAAATGATCTCAGGCCAAAATGCATTTCTGAGTTAGACAACATTTAGTTATAAGCTCTTCAAATCCCTGCAAACCTGATGTGTGCAGGAAACGCTTAAAACATTTCTGTTTACAGACTTTTTAGATCAAAGAATCTCACTACTGAACTGTCTGATCACTGATGAGTGACTGAAAAATGAGATTATTGAAATTCAAATGAAAAATTAGCTTTAGATTTAAATAAATTTTCTTTTTACACAATATTTTTCGGTGCTTGTCACATTAATTTGTCCTTTTCAACAAAGCTTAAATGTTGTTTTTATTATTTTATTGTGTTTCCATTGATGTCATATAAAGTACCTATGTATTCATGGTGTAAACATCCCTTCTTGAAAGTAAGTGTTTTTAACAAACTCACCAGGGGAACAATTATTGGTACTCCTGTTACTTTGTGAGACTTTCTTTGACCAACAAAAAAAAAAAAAAAAAAAAAAATAGCAATTAGTCTTCAACCATAACCTTTCACAAACTTCTAACACACAGTGATGCCTCTTTGAATGTCCACCACCCCAAAGGGTTTCTACTGGATTCAGGTCCAGTATGTTCACAGAAGTAGGTTGGATTAAGTTTTCATGAGGTGGTTTTAGACTCAAGTTTGTGCCTTACCAGAGGCATGAAACTCTGAAAAACTCTAAACCTAGTAAGGTTCTCTCCATTTTTCTGAGATGTTTGGTCCATGCTAGCTTGGCTCCTCTTTATCTAATGAAGCACCCATAATTCACTTTTTTTTCTTGTGACATTTTAAAAGTTTGATCAACTTGACAATTGGAGAAAAGCTTTGCTGGTAGAACCCAAAACGGTACTGACATCAGACTTAAACAAAAAGTACACTCAATAGTTGGTATAGTTAGCTTTTCGTTTTTAAAAAACCTTTATTATCCTTACTGTGTGCTTGGAATATGAGTATGGGTTCTTGACTAGAAATGTGTGTCTGTGTCAGATCTTATTTATATCCCAGGGAAACAGAAACTCATTAGAAGATCCTAGAAAGTCTAGTCACTTAAATAATGAATATATATATTTTAAGAAATATGTCACATTCCCTTTAAATGGACCGTTAAGGCAATGGTCTCTAAATATACTTATTTAGGTATTTAGTCATTTTATTTCCATCTACTGGTTTTCAAGGAGCGAATGCCAAAGTCTCTTCTTCCTTCTGCAACTTAAGAAGTTTGATTTATGGAGAAATCGATGCTCCTCGTTGTGGCTGGAGGCTTTTCTGAGGGTCGGAGCTGATCTACAGCGTCGGTAAAAAGGAGCAAGTGGACTTCAGCTGCAGCCACTAATTTCAAGGTGGCACTTTTATACAGGGTTAAGCCCAGGTATTTGAGCACTAAGCTACAGCTGCGTAGCACTACAACATTGTTCTCCATTTCCTGGTAGAAAAGGAATCTCAATAGTGTTTTTTGCCATAAAAAGCTACTTAATAGAACTATTTGAAGGACGGCCCATTCAAGTAGTTGTCTGATTTATTAGGCTTATTAGGATGCTTTGCCTCTCTCTCCCTCAACATGCTGAAGTCTGATTTTATTATGCTGAATGAGTCGAAACTCCAACGGTACCGCGGGCAGCTGCAGACTTCTCGGCTGTTTATTTTTTCCCCTCAAATGCCTCTTCCCTTCCTCTCCTCCTCCTCTTCTCTCTATCTCGTTCCAGTCGTCCCCTCTCTGCTTGTGTTGTTTTCTTCCTCGTCATCTTCCTCGGCCGTCACACGCTCACCAGTCTCTGTGTGGCCGCTCATAAACTGAAGGGTAATCCTGCTGACTGGAGCAGCTCAGCTAATTGGACGATAAAGCCTCAAAGAGATAGCCCGCTTCCCCGTTTTGTTTCCCAAAATTAGTCTGTTGGTAACACAACATTGAAATTATCTTGTTCCTTTCCCCCCGCGCCTCCCTTCTTCTGTTCATTTGTCTACTCTGGTCTTCAACTAAATTTCTCCCACCACTGGCATTTCTGTTCATTGTGTTTACAAAGATGCCTTTAGACAGACTTATTTTTATTTTTACGTTCAGCAGATTTCCAGTGATGGAAATGGATAATTCGGACAGGCAGGAAAACTAGTTCTCTCTTTTTATACGACTATCTCCTCCTTTTTACAGCAATATATTTGCTCAAATGAAGGGACTTCCATTTCAAATAATACTGCGGAAGAATTCGAAAGGGCATTAGATCTTCCTTGGTTTGTCGCACGACATAAATCTTTCTAAACGTCAGATTTGGACGAATCATTTTGCTTCAAGCAGCTATAAATATTCCTGAGTTCTCTTCTAGGAAATGAGCTTCTTTAAACTTTTATGTAAGTCCGACTGAAGTTGAGGCGTTCGAGAAGAGACGGAGAAAAATTCATGCTCTTCACTTGGTTAATAATTAAAATAGTTAATTATTTTGTCAATGTCTAAAAAAAAAAAAATCCCCAAAAATGATTTTTTTCCCTGTATTTGTAGCATAAAATATCAGCTTTGTTACGAAAAGTCTAGTAGGCTTGACCTTCTCAGTTCAGTTTACCCTGGATGAAAACAGGTTGAAAAATAAATGATTACCTCTACTGCGTAAAACAAAATATAAAGAAATTAAACAAAGCAGGTGATTCATGGATTTTTCTCTTTACTGTTTTAGGTAACTTTAGTTTTTGTATTCTTTGCCATTAGAATAAAGAACAAAGCTCCTAAAGCCCTCTACGTGACCAAAGCTTTCTGTTGGGTTCATTCGTTCACCGTTTTTTGTTTTTAGGTCTTCTGCCTACAGATGTTCTTCTCCCTAGAAATACTCCAGTTCTCCAGATCCACTCCAGGTAAACGAAAGCTTCTCAAAGCCCAGAAGGGATGTATTGTCCTTTCCCCAGGTTCTGGATCTGCCTGGTGGTCTGCTCCCGTTGGGATGTGCCCGAGTCAACCAGGAGTTATTTTGATTACCTGAAATTACTTCTTTCATGGTAGAGAATCAGCGGCCCTGTCAGGGAAGGCTCGTCTCAGCCGGGTTAATCTGGGATCTGAAGCATTGGGTCAAAATCCATATCTCACGATCATAGGAAAGGGTTGGATTTGGGACAAACCAGTTGGTGTTTTTTGGTACAGCCAGAGCAGCGGCCACATAACATATCCTACCATCACTCACAGGCAACTGACTCCTTACATCTACGTCAATTAATCAGTGAGGCACCGTGACAGACGTCAGAAATGAGGGACGGGAGTAGTGAACCGAGCGACCGTGATTGTTTTCCCAAGTTGTTTTTACCATTACAGCCATGGGTTCTACTTGTTCAAGTCGAGTTAATTTGTCTGTGACAGTAGACCTCACTGCTCAGCTGTAAATGAAGACAAAGAGATTGTGTCTTGTAATATTGTCCATAAACTAAACACCTTCAAGCTAAGGATTAGCTCAGCCACTAAACCCACTGTGTAGAAGATAGACTCAATGTCATGCAAGCAGACACAGCTCTTATTTTGGGGCTTTTTATTTAAGCAACCTCAATACTCTTTATTCCTGAAGGACGCCCCAATACATCACGCTAATGGATATGGTGTAAAGTCTTCTCTAGATTCACAAGCTGCATGTGGCCTGAACAACCAAACTCATGAAATTCTCAGCAATTCCCTGAGAATAACAATCTGCATGAGGAAAAAAGCTAAGCTACAGGATTGAAGGCTCAATCACCAGCAAGCCTCCCTCCAGTTGCCATTTGCAATGATCATCTAATAGCTATTAGTCTTTTCCTCCCCTGAGGCCATTTTGCCAGAGAGAACCTATCAGAAGCCAAAGTCTCGCACAACAGATGCTCCAAAAGTTTCTATCGAGGCAGAACTGGAGGAAAAATGAAATTCATGCTCACTCTATCAAAACAGCTTGTTCAAATGTCATGACGTCCATAAAATCTTTACCTGGAATACTCTGTGTGTGCAATCTGTTCTGTCAAAAATCTTTTACTTTTCTGTCTCATCCTGTGTCTGCCTCCGTTTAATTCACTCCATCCCACAGTCTAGCTTGAATTTTCTGACACTCCGGTCTCAGAGACCAGCTGGAGCTGTCACTGTACCTGATGTCTCTCTTTTACGCTGCCGTCTTTTTGTTTCTCAGGAGGCCCCCCTGATGTGGGCAAGATGCTGGGCGGGGAGGAGAAGGAGGAGGACCCCGATGCAGCAAAGAAAGAGGAGGAGCGACAGGAAGCGCTGAGGCAGCAGGAGGAGGAGAGGAAGGCCAAATACGCCAAGATGGAGGCTGAGAGGGAACAGATGAGGCAAGGCATCAGGGATAAGGTATGATGTAAACCACATCTGCCGTCTGAGTGTAGCGAGTCATTAACCAAAGGGAAAGAACAGGAAATGGAAATAGATTACCATTATTAGGAAAACAAAGAATGCCAATTTCCCAGAGAAGTTTTTAATTAACACGCTAGCTCATTAAGGGTAAAGTCAATCATTTTAAACAAAAATGACTTGATAGAACAGCCCCTGAAAAGTGTAACAATCCAAAAATAATGCACGACGTGATCATTTGTGTTTCTCCTTAAAGCTAAATTTTGACCTGCTTTACTGAAGTTTGCTATTTTTAGTTGCAGCCTTTTTTTCCTCTTCTTTTTGTCTTATTTTTAACTTGCTGTTTAAAATACACCAGACATGGATCAGGAAGCTGTGCAGAACAAAAAGAGACAGAAGGGCGAGAAAAAGGACTGGGATTTATCAGATAGAGAGCTGAGGAGGAAATACAACTAAATCAGAAGATGATGCAGATTTTCTGATTGTTAATGTTTATGTGGCTTACAGCAGAGTATCTCCTTAAAAATGTTCCACCCAAATCAGAACTGGGCTTAAAGTGAGACAAAGTGGATTTGAGTTGATTAGTTTCCTAAAAATAATTCCCTTTTAAAGCTTCTTTTGCCCAAACCGAGAAATAATAGCAAAAACAGACATCAGGTGACTGGATAAACAAATCCTCACTCTCAAAAGACTATTCAGTAGTTTTTCTGCAGGTACTAAAACAGTTGCATCAACTCTGGTAATTTAATTATCATTTTGATAGTTTTAAACTTCACTTTCTCAGGTAAGATAAGGAGTTTTTTTCTCACTAGAAACTTTGTACTGACTAATTCATGTCGACTTTGGCAATAATACCGAACATAGTTAAAAATTGATGATTCAATTTTCCTACAGTCTACTTCTTGCCCATTATAAGAAAGCTATGTGACTTCAAAAAATTATAATCTACCAGCATAAAGTGTTTTATTGCTATTTCATTTGGATCAGGTGTCCATTTCTCATATTCTGTAAGAGTTAATTGTCCCAAAAAGGGTTCAATACCTTGAACAATGCTTTGGTGTGTAATATTAAATCTACATTAGTTTATAGTCAATTGTGTAATTCATTGAGATTCAAGCATTTTTGTGATTATCGTCGTATAATTTGCCCGGGAATTTATATATAGGGTACGGTGGTAAAGTTTAAGGGTACCAACTGGTTCATTGAACAAAATAGAATCTTATTTTTGAGGCGAAATGGCAACGTCTGGGTCCAAAATGGGGGTGCACATTGAATAAGGATCCAATGTGTCACATAGCAACTCAATCCTCTTCTCTTTTTTATATGTATTTCGTCTTTGCATTACTCACCACTCTTGTTCTGTGTTTTAATGCCAGTACGGGTTGAAGAAGAAGGAGGAGGCCGAGGCTGAGGCAGCGGCTGCTGCGGAGGAGCCCGCAGCCGGCAGCTTGACCCGACCCAAGAAAGCCGTGCCGGCCGGTTGTGGGGATGAGGAGGAAGAAGAAAGCATCATGGACACAGTGATGAAATACCTGCCAGGCCCTCTGCAAGACATGCTAAAGAAGTAGCTTAGCCAGCTAACTAAAGCTAACACTGTCTGGCTGAATTTGCAGGCTACATTCACAAGGTTGGCTTGAATCGGGTTTTTATTGTCAACGTAGATCCAACGTAGAAATTAGAGGAGTGTTACGGTGTCAAATCACAATTTTGTAGTAGGGAAACTTCTCAGATGTGAACAAACAGACGACACTGACTCAACAACCGGGTTAATGTTAGCTGGATTGATGTTAGCTTCAGCCATGTTAGATTTCAAAGCTAACAACACGTGGAGGGCTAAAGTCACATTTCAGATGGGTTACCCTTCTAGTTTGAGACATTTTGAACTTTTTGTTTTCTCCTCTGCGTTAGCTGCAGTATGGAAAAATATATCTGTCCACCACCTTCACTCAGTTTGTACATAAAAAAAAAATAAAAAAATGTAACGCATACCATCAAGGTGGGCAAAACAATCATATATATCACATATAAAAGAATACATGAGTGGCTATTTAAAAGAAAAAAAAAAAAAAAAAGAAAACATGTATCTGGATAAGCCATATTTTAAGAACAATTTAAAGACTACTGTTGTGTGTTCCTAAAGTTTATGTTACGTGTGTTCTGTCTGATATTTATGTAAAACCTTTTGCACACAGTGTTACACGTAATCTGTAAAACCTTTTCGTCTGTCTTCCAGACACACTCCCTCAAAGCGCAACGCGCTCATGTTGTACGGTGTTCAGAAATGTTTCTACTTCCTTGCTCAGTGTCATGTCCTGCATGCCATTTGTCTGGAGAGTTTGTTGTGTCGGTATGTATTAAAATCCACCTGATTGCTGTCCATCTTATTTGTTATCATGCAAAAAATATCGAGGCAATAACTTAAGTTTGACTGTGTTTACTTCCATGTTGATATAACCGTTAATAAAAATAATAATAATTATAACAACTATAATAATAATATCAGTAGTTTAAAAAAAAGCAATTAGATATGTATGTATTCAGGAAAAATTATTTTGATTTGCTTGGAGTCTCTCTTTTTGCTTGTTTGTTTGTTTTTGTTGTCATTTTGAGGAAGAATGACTGCTGTAGCTGTTTTACACAACAGCCAAAACCTTAAGCTATCAGCCATAAGACCAGAAGTGGCAGTATCTATACTGCTACAGTCAGGATCAATGGGAAGGAATACATGACATGTGAACGAGATGAGGGTTTTTTCTTCTTCTTTGTTTTAGAAATTATATCAAAGAGACAAAGTCTTGTTGGAGAGAGGCCACTTTCCTTCAATACACAATCACAGCCTGCTGATTTTGTTTTACAGAAAATAACAGAAATAAGTGTTTCGAAGGGTTCAGTGTTACTGTTCTGGATGGAGGTTATGCAGAATGACAAGAGCAATAAAGGATTAAATATATGTTTCTGCCTGAGATTCAATAAAGACTTCAAATCCTGCTCACAGACATGAGAAATTTGTTTTTGTTTTTTTTTCTGTGATCAGACTTACAAAACAGCGAAAGGAAATCTGTAAAGTTATTTTTTGTGTCTTAATGATGTTTTATGGCCTTTTTGGATTTGAATTGGCTTTCTACATTTTTGGCCACATCTGCTCCCATTAAATGTAAACAAAACGTCAGCAGCTTGATTCATTGTCATATTTTATTTATTTATTTGACTACAAGCAATGGGATTATTTTCTTTTTTTTTTATTTTCCATAAAATAGAAATGAATTAATTGGACACTTCCTGCCAAAAGCAGAAGAAAAAAAATCAAGAAAAGAGATTTCTGTGCGCTAGTTGTTTAATAAAACTAGCCATTTTTCAGAGGTGGATATTCATTTACGGTACTTGAAATATTTTGGAAGGGCTCTGGGAGGTTCAATAAAGACTTAAAATCCTGCTCACAGAGTAGGAGTAGTTTTACTGAACTGTACTTTTTACTTTTACTTAGGTCATATAATGGAGCATAGCAACTCGAGTCTTCAATTCTTGAATCTTCAGCTACCTGCGAGTAACTTTACTGAATGGACAATATGTTACAGACAAAAAATACATGTTTTTTTTTTTTTTTTTGTCATTTTCTATCTGAAGTGGCTGTTGT